AAATTTTTTTTTAAATTTTTATATTTATACTTAAATTTCAATATTTAACAAAGGCAAATCAAAATCACATTTATTCAAAATGTACAGTTGTTATAGGACTTGTTGTAGAAGTTAATCTAAAAAAAGAAGAAAAAAATATAACAACAAAAAAATAAATTAAAATCAAATTCCAAGAATTTTGTTGAAAAAAATTAAAATTATATTAATAACAAACAAAAACAATATATACGATTTTACAGTAACAAAGACACTCTACACCTATAGTCTATATAATAGACTATAGACTAGACTATAAACAACTCTATAGACTAGACTATAGACTATACTATAGACTAAACTATAGACTAGACTATAGACTAGACTATAGATTAGACCATAGACTAGACTATAGAGTAGACTATGGACTAGACTATAGACTAGACTAAAGACTAGACTATAGACTAAACTATAGACTAGACTTTAGACTAGACTATAGACTAGACTGTAGACTAGACTATATATTAGACTATAGACTAGACTATAGACTAGAGTATAGACTAGACTATAGACTAGACTGTAGACTAGAGTATAGACTAGACTATAGACTAGACTATAGACTAGAGTATAGACTAGACTATAGACTAGAGTATAGACTAGACTATAGACTAGACTATAGAATAGACTATAGACTAGACTATAGACTAGACTATAGACTAGACTATAGACTAGACTATAGAATAGACTATAGACTAGACTATAGACTAGACTATAGACTAGACTATAGACTAGGCTATAGACTAGACTATAGAATAGACTATAGACTATAGACTAGTTAGTTAGTTAGTTAGTTAGTTAGTTAGTTAGTTAGTTAGTTAGTTAGTTAGTTAGTTAGTTAGTTAGTTAGTTAGTTAGTTAGTTAGTTAGTTAGTTAGTTAGTTAGTTAGTTAGTTAGTTAGTTAGTTAGTTAGTTAGTTAGTTAGTTAGTTAGTTAGTTAGTTAGTTAGTTAGTTAGTTAGTTAGTTAGTTAGTTAGTTCGTTAGTTAGTTAGTTAGTTAGTTAGTTAGTTAGTTAGTTAGTTAGTTAGTTAGTTAGTTAGTTAGTTAGTTAGTTAGTTAGTTAGTTAGTTAGTTAGTTAGTTAGTTAGTTAGTTAGTTAGTTAGTTAGTTAGTTAGTAGTTAGTTAGTTAGTTAGTTAGTTAGTTAGTTAGTTAGTTAGTTAGTTAGTTAGTTAGTTAGTTAGTTAGTTAGTTAGTTAGTTAGTAGTTAGTTAGTTAGTTAGTTAGTTAGTTAGTTAGTTAGTTAGTTAGTTAGTTAGTTAGTTAGTTAGTTAGTTAGTTAGTTAGTTAGTTAGTTAGTTAGTTAGTTAGTTAGTTAGTTAGTTAGTTAGTTAGTTAGTTAGTTAGTTAGTTAGTTAGTTAGTTAGTTAGTTAGTTAGTTAGTAGTTAGTTAGTTAGTTAGTTAGTTAGTTAGTTAGTTAGTTAGTTAGTTAGTTAGTTAGTTAGTTAGTTAGTTAGTTAGTTAGTTAGTTAGTTAGTTAGTTAGTTAGTTAGTTAGTAGTTAGTTAGTTAGTTAGTTAGTTAGTTAGTTAGTTAGTTAGTTAGTTAGTTAGTTAGTTAGTTAGTTAGTTAGTTAGTTAGTTAGTTAGTTAGTTAGTTAGTTAGTTAGTTAGTTAGTTAGTTAGTTAGTTAGTTAGTTAGTTAGTTAGTTAGTTAGTTAGTTAGTTAGTTATTAGTTAGTTAGTTAGTTAGTTAGTTAGTTAGTTAGTTAGTTAGTTAGTTAGTTAGTTAGTTAGTTAGTTAGTTAGTTAGTTAGTTATAGCCTCCGTAGGGAAGCCTAATATAGGGACCAATTTTCTTGTTTATCGCAATATTCCGTTTTCGGCAACAACAATAAAATTATTTCGCAGAATTCCTTTTCTATTGTGCGACATTATAAATTTACTTTATCTAAATAATTTCCATTGAATTAAACTTTATTCATAATTTTACTATTTGTGACATTTTGTTTAAAGTCTTGCTCAAAGCAACTGTTACGGAAAGCACAATGTAATAAAATAACTTCTAATACAAATACAAGCAAATAAGAGAGACTGGTCGGTTTAGACCGACAGTACAATATACATACATATATAATGTTTAATTGCATCTCTTATATTATACTAATCAGTCTTATCGTAAGAAAGACGAAAAAGACTGGTAAAGAGATTAGTCAAAAATAAGCTAGTCAATAGACCATAAACAGACTTGTCAAAGTTCTAATCTATAGAATGATTGGTAAACTTGTCAAAAGAATAGTCAATAGACTAGTTAATATTAAATAGTCTAGGCAAACACTAGTCCAAATACTAGTCAAAAAAACTAGTCAAATGATTCTGTAGCTTAGAAAACCTGTAATATAATATAATAGTGCAGGTTTCATACATAAACTTCACAACTTTAAACTATGTCACAAACATATACACAATTAATAGGAAATACCAACAACAAGTGCAACAAATATTTATCCTGTTGTACAATAACGACACACACATACACGTTTTCTTTATGGTTTTATTGTATGTATTGGAAAACAACGATGAATGCAGGAATCCTTACACACGAGTCAATTTATAGGAGTACATGTAGTTTTTTGTTAGTAAATAAAAAAGTGAGAATGAGAAAACATTACAAATGCAGTGAGTGTATACACAATTGTTTGTGTTCTTGTTGTTTTGTATTGTTTACAAATAAAACTACAATAAGTGCAACAAAAACTAAGCAAGTGATTAAATATAAAAACAAATTGTGATAAGGAAATACAAAAACAAGAACTAAAGAAAATGTGAGAGTGCCAAAGGAAAAGGAAGAGAACAAAGTATCATATACATACATAGAAGTAAATGTTTTTTATAGCTGTAGTTAAAATTTGATTACAATTGCAACTACTGGCAACATGCGACTGAAGACAAAATAAATTTTGTTTTTTTAACTCTTTAGTAGTTACGTGGTCACAATTGTAATCACAATGTAACTTGCAGTAAAAATAATACATATTTATGTTGTGTTTTAATTTAAATTTACAAGTTGTTGACATTTACAAAACAACTATTGTTTTTGTGTTAATATTTATACATTTCTATTGCTATTAGAAGTACATACCGTAAACTTTCAGTTCTTGATCTTTGTGAATAGTCTTTGGATAAACGATGTCTGTAATAGAAAGAATTGTAAAGAAATGTTAATTTAAAACAAATAGCTAAATAATTGTTACATTAGTAATTAAAAAAACACTTATGTCTGCTTAAAGCAATTTAATAAGTTGACAGTACTAAATAAATGGTTAATCGGTTATATTTGTTAAAATTTGAGCAAAGTAAGAGTAGACTAAATACTTTTGAGTTCAAAGTTTTAAAACAGAGTTTCAAAGCAGAGATAAACAACTAGTCATAGAAAACAGCAGTGTCCCATATTCTTCCTTAGGACTTTATCATGTTTTCAGAAGACAGTCGGATGTACGAACCCAGAATATGAAGAAATAATTTCATGTGTGTGGTATAAATCTAACTTTTACTAGTTAATTCATTTGTAATTTCCTTAAAGTCTGCACCTGCAAATGTATCTTTAATACTTTTATATATTTTCTTACATTTATTATAGACAATTTGTGGTTGTTTTCTACAGTAAAAATCTAATATTACATCACCTATAGGTCTGTTATAAAATTTACAAAAATAAAGATTTACCTAAAAAACCATCTACATAAATACAAAACAAATTAAGTCATGTGTAAATATATCAAAACGTATTAAAAAACAACCAAACAAAAGGAGGAGAGGTGGGGGGAACCGAAACAAAAGGAGGAGGAGGGGCCCGAAAACGAAAAACGAACGAACTAACGAACGAACGAACGAACGAACGAACGAACGAACGAACGAACGAACGAACGAACGAACGAACGAACGAACGAACGAACGAACGAACGAACGAAACGAAACGAACGAACGAACGAACGAAACGAACAACGAACGAACGAACGAAACGAACGAACGAAGAAACGAACGAAACGAACGAACGAACGAACGAACGAACGAACGAACGAACGAAACGAACGAACGAACGAACGAACGAACGAACGAACGAACGAACGAACGAACGAACGAACGAACGAAACGAACGAACGAACGAACGAACAACGAACGAACGAACGAACGAACGAACGAAACGAACGAACGAACGAACGAACGAACGAACGAACAACGAAACGAACGAACGAACGAACGAACGAACGAACGAACGAACGAACGAACGAACGAACGAACGAACGAACGAACGAACGAACGAACGAACGAACGAACGAACGAAACGAACGAACGAACGAACGAACGAACGAACGAACGAACGAACGAAACGAACGAACGAACGAACGAACGAACGAAACGAACGAACGAAACGAACGAACGAACGAACGAACGAACGAACGAACGAACGAACGACAACGAAAAAACGAACGAACGAACGAAACGAACGAACGAACGAACGAACGAACGAACGAACGAAAAAAGAACGAACGAACGAAACGAACGAACGAACGAACGAACGAACGAACGAACGAACGAACGAACGAACGAACGAACGAACGAAACGAACGAACGAACGAACGAACGAACGAACGAACGAACGAACGAACGAACGAACGAAAACGAACGAACGAAACGAACGAACGAACGAACGAACGAACGAACGAACGAACGAACGAACGAACGAACGAACGAACGAAAAACGAACGAACGAACGAACGAACGAACGAACGAACGAACGAACGAACGAACGAACGAACGAACGAACGAACGAACGAACGAACGAACGAACGAACGAACGAACGAACGAACGAAACGAACGAACGACGAACGAACGAACGAACGAACGAACGAACGAACGAACGAACGAACGAAAGAACGAAACGAACGAACGAACGAACGAACGAACGAACGAACGAACGAACGAACGAACGAACGAACGTAACGAACGAACTAACGAACGAACGAACGAACGAACGAAACGAACGAACGAACGAACGAACGAACGAACGAACGAACGAACGAACGAACGAACGAAACGAACGAACGAACGAAACGAAACGAACGAACGAACGAACGAACGAACGAACGAACGAACGAACGAACGAAAACGAACGAACGAACGAACGAACTAACGAACTAACGAACGAACGAACGAACGAACGACGAACGAACGAACGAAACGAACTCAACGAACGAACGAAACGAACGAACGAACGAACGAACGAACGAACGAACGAACGAAGAACTGAAGCGAACGAACGAAACGAACGAACGAACGAACGAACGAACGAACTGAACGAACGAAACGAACGAAACGAACGAACGAACTAACGAACGAAACGAACGAACGAACAACGAACGAACGAACGAACGAACGAACGAACCGAACGAACGAAACAGAACGAACGAACTAACGAACGAACGAACGAACAACGCGAACAACGAACGAACGAAACGAACGAACGAACGAACGAACGAACGAACGAACAACAAAGAACGAACGAACGAAAACGAACGAACGAAAACGAACGAACGAACGAACGAACGAACGAACGAACGAACGAACGAACGAAAAAACGAACGAACGAACGAACGAACGAACGAACGAACGAAACGAACGAACGAACGAACGAACGAACGAACGAACGAACGAACGAACGAACGAACGAAACGAACGAACGAACGAACGAACGAAAAAACTAACGAACGAACGAACGAACGAAACGAACGAACGAACGAACGAACGAACGAACGAACGAAAACGAACGAACGAACGAACGAAAGAACGAACGAACGAACGAACGAAACGAACGAACGAACGAACCGAACGAACGAACGAACGAACGAACGAACGAACGAAGGAACGAACTGAACGAACGAACGAACGAACGAACGAACGAACGAATCGAACTAACTAACGAACGAACGAACGAACGAACGAACTAACGAACTAACGAACGAACTAACGAACTAACTAACTAACTAACTAACTAACTAACTAACTAACTAACTAACTAACTAACGAACTAACGAACTAACTAACTAACTAAACTAACTAACTAACTAACTAACTAACTAACTAACTAACTAACTAACTAAACAACTAACTAACTAACTGAACTTTCAATTATAGTACGGACTAGTGCTTTTCTTTTTCTGTGCTATTCATTTGCCGGGAAATAGGGATTCATTTTAACTGCCAAAGAAGTGAAAAAGAAGCAGAATCCTACTCTATGGAAGTACTGAAAAGGACCCGCAGAAATGATGATTTTAACACAGGCTTATCAATAGTATGGGATGTCCTTTTTATTTGATACCAAATTCACTACTTATGAAGTCATTCTCAAGATGTAATTTGTATGTTCTTTTTTGGACATTCACTTCCAAATGAACGTAAAATATACCATCTTCAGTATTGAAAAAATATAATAATTTCCGCTGTTTCACCGAAGGTAAAAAAATCATTTAGTGCTACCTTTGAAGTGGTGATACATGTTATTCTTTTGAAAGCACTTCCTCTTATTTTTGCTGAGTAGTATCCACAACAACGGCAAATTCCAGAAAAAAATTTTTTGTCAATAAATTGCTTAAAAATAATGCATTGTTTAAGTGAAATTCTGAAATTGAACCCACTCTAATATACATACTTCCTACGCACATACACCCACACACTTAAAAAAATACGAAATTTACAAATCCTCACCCTAGGGAAATTGTTTAAAATTAAATTAGAAATAAACAACAAAAAAAATTTGAATAAACATTAGATTAGAAATTAACTGAATTAACCAAAATAAAGAAACAGAAGTAAACAAGAAAAAGAAAAAAAAAAAAAAACAAATAACAACAAACATAAAACTTTTAAATATAACATAAAAAGGCGGTTAGATTTAAAATTAAAAACAAACAAATTAATTCGTAAACTTAATTCAACATATAAGTATTTTGTACGTACATGTAACAAATTTAAAAATGACCAAAGAAATGAAATAAAAACAATAGGAAAAAAGGAAACAATTAAAAAGAGACTTTATAATGTATGCTAACTTTTTGTCTTCGTTTAACTTTAAGATGTTTGAAGCAATATTACCTGCGATTCCTATTAGAACTGCCACGTCTCAGGTTGCGATTGTCACGCCATCTAACAAAACGATGACGCAGTGTTTGACGTACCTCCGAGTTGAGGAAACAGAAGAATAAGGAGACAAAGAAGCCCTGTGTAACGAGAGAAAAATTAAAGAGAAAACGCATTAATTATGCAATAATTAATCTACTAAAATCAAGGAAAAATTGCTTAAGGTGATGATGAGAAGATATTAGTGGTATTATTAGGTTTTTTAATAGAGTAAAAGCTGGAATGGAGGATATGTAAAAGGATTTTTAGTGAAAGCTGGGATAAGAAAGACAGTCTAAAGTCTGGACTATAGAACAGTTTATAGTCAGGACTATAAAACAGTCTACAGTCAGGACTATAAAACAATCAATAGTCTGGACTATAGAACAGTCTATAGTCAGAATTATAAAACAGTCTATAGTCTGGGCTTTAGAACAATCTATTTTCTAGACTATAGAACAACCTATAGTCTGGACTATAGCACAACATATAGTCTGGACTATAAAACAAACTATAGTCTGGACTATAGAACAACCTATAGTCTGGACTATAGAACAACCTATAGTCTGGACTATAGAACAACCTATAGTCTGGCCTATAGAACAGTCTATAGTTTGGACTATAGAACAGTCTGGACTATAGAATAGTTTATAGTGTGGACTATAGAACAGTTTATAGTCTGGACTATAGAACAGTCTATAATCTGGACTATAGAACAGTCTATAGTCTGAACTATAGAACAGTCTATAGTCTGAACTATAGAATAGTCTATAGTCTGAACTATAGAACAGCCTATAGTCTGGACTATAGAACAGTCTATAGTCTGGACTATAGAACGGTCTATAGTCTGGACTATAGAACAGTCTATAGTCTGGACTATAGAACAGTCTATAGTCTGGACTATAGAACAGTCTATAGTCTGGACTATAGAACAGTCTATAGTCTGGACTATAGAACAGTCTATAGTCTGGACTATAGAACAGTCTATAGTCTGCAATATTGAATAACCTATAGTCTGGACTATAGAACAACCTATAGTCTGAAGTTTAGACAAACCTATAGTCTGGACCATAGAACAACTTATAGTCTGGACTATAGAACAACCTATAGTCTGGACTATAGAACAGTCTATAGTCTGGACTATAGAACAACCTATAGTCTGGACTATAGAACAGTCTATAGTCTGGGCTATAGAACAGTCCATAGTCTGGACTATAGAACAGTCCATAGTCTGGACTACAGAACAGTCTATAGTCTGGACTATAGAACAGTCTATAGTCTGGACTATAGAACAGTCTATAGTCTGGACTATAGAACAGTCTATAGTCTGGACTATAGAACAGTCTATAGTCTGGACTATAGAACAGTCTATAGTCTGGACTATAGAACAGTCTATAGTCTGGACTATAGAACAGTCTATAATCTGAACTATAGAACAGTCTATAGTCTGGACTATAGAATAGTCTATAGTATTTACTATAGAACAGTCTATAGTCTGGACTATAGAACAGTCTATAGTCAGGACTATAAAACAGTCTACAGTCAGGACTATAAAACAGCCTATCGTCTGGACTATAGAAGAGTCTATAGCCTGGACTATAGAACAATCTATAGTCAATCTTTAGTCCGGATTGTAGAACAGTCGATAGTCTTGACTATAGAACAGTCTATAGTGTGGACTATAGAATAATCTATAGTATTTACTATGGACTGGACTACAGAACAGTCTATAGTCTGGACTATAGAACAGTCTATAGTCTGAACTATAGAACAGTCTATAGTCTGAACTATAGAACAGTCTATAGTCTGGACTATAGAACAGTCTATAGTGTGGACTATAGAACAGTCCATAGTCTGGACTATAGAACAGTCTATAGTCTGGACTATAGAACAGTCTATAGTGTGGACTATAGAACAGTCTATAGTCTGGACTATAGAACAGTCTATAGTTTGGACTATAGAACAGTCTATAGTCTGGATTATAGAACTGTCTATAGTCTGGACTATAGAATAGTCTATAGTCTGGAATATGGAAAAGTTAGTAAACTGGACTTTAGAACATTTAATTATTTATACTATGGAGCACCTCATAGTGTATTTTATCTAGATTGTGAAATATAATTTCACCACATTTTAGCATTCTTTACATGAGAATCCATAGGTACTTTTTCTCTTAATACTTACTTGGGTACTTATTAAAAAGGCTCTTGTAATTTCAAATAAATTACGACTAATGCCCTGTTCCGGTCCAACCAATACCAATAGGTATGTAATGCCAAACAATGGTATTAATACCATTAATGCTTTCGAAGCTTTATGATATTGTCTTGTCTCCAAGGTATTGGCCGAACGTAATTTTGTTATAAGCACCTGAAAAAGAAACAAAAAAGGAAAGAAATTAAATAGAATTAAAAGAAAACAGTAAAAATAGATAAAAACTTTAAGATGCCATGCATGTTAAAATAAAACCGGATATTGGTAGAAAAAAAAACGGTAAACCTCACAGTTACTTTTCTATTAGCCGGTTGAAGAAGTTAAAATGAATGAAAGTAGAAGATTAAAAATAACTTCAAATAAAGTGATTTTTCTAGTAGAATTTAAAAAGGTTTCTATGGGTGTAGGGATTTGCAAAGGAAATTGCAAATTTTTGGTTTGTTTAAGAATTTAAACTTAAGAAAATGTTTTATAAATATTTAATTGTGAGAAAAAATACATTACATATGTACATTTAAAACTTACCCACATTATACGTATAAGAAATATTAAATTAAGTGTTAAAACTAAAGAGGCAGGTCCTTGAAATATCCAATCAATATGAGATTCACGCATCCAGGAACATTCTATATCCAACTGTAAAAGAAACATAATATGTTATTCTTCAATATTTTTTCGTATTTTATGTAAAAATAGTCATTTTAGTTAAAGTGTTTTGTTTGTGTAGTGGCGTATACTTAATATCGTTAATATGAAAATATTTTCATATTAGTCATACGTACTGGTTGACTGTAATAAATTAATTTAGCTCTTATTATTAAATTTTTTTACACAATTTATTTACTCTATCGACTTTATTATAAATATTTTTCATGAATATTTGTTATTTAACTTTATTATATTTTCCCTGAATTATTTTCTTTTTCAAAGATGTCACTTGAACATGAATTTCGTCTTAACCTTGAGGTTAGTTCCTTGAAAAGGAACTAGTTAGTAGTAACAAAATAACTGTAAAACAGGAAAAACGCATAATACATGTACTCATTATATTAACCCTCTAAGGTATACGAATACTTATGCTAAGATGTTTAATGCAGGCATAAACTGTTGGTAGATATAACCGCTGAACGTTGATGTATTTACATACACACACACGCACTTAGAAAATGGAATTATTTTTTGTTTTACTTACACATACATATGTATTTGTAGCATGATAAATTAACATGCAACATGAATTATACGTATAATAAGAACAAGCATCTTTGAATTTGTTAACCATATTAGCGAGTAGTGGGAAGAAACAGCGTATGGTATGTAAATCAACTTGTATAAAATGGTGGGGAGTATCATGGAAAGTTTGCATGTTGTGTTGGATTTTGTATGATGAAATCATTTCAATATAAAATTCATCATATCCCAATAATGTAGACAAAAAGACAATAGTTTCAAATACATGCTGTTTAAGTGCGTGCGTGAAGTAGCGCGTGTATATTAGTGTACAACAGGAAAACTAGAGAACATTCTGGACTATAGAACAGTCTATAGTTTGGACTATAGAACAGTCTATAGTTTTGACTATAGAACAGTCTATAGTCTGGTCTATAGAACAGTCTACAGTCTGGACTATAGAACAGTCTACAGTCTGGACTATAGAACAGTCTATAGTCAGGACTAAAGAACAGTCTATAGTCTGGACTAAAGAACAGTCTATAGTCTGTACTATAGAAAAGTCTACAGTCTGGACTATAGACCAGACTATGGACTGTTCTATAGACTGTTCTAGACTGGACTATAGAACAGTCTATAGTCTGGTCTACAGAACAGTCTATAGTCTGGACTATAGAACAGTTTATAGTCTGGACTATAGAACAGTCTATAGTCTGGACTATTGAACAGTAGTATGGACTATAAAACAGTATATAGTCTGGACTATAGAACAATCTATAGTCTGGACTATAGAACAGTCTATAGTCTGTACTATTGAACAGTCTATAGTCTGTACCACAGGGTATACAGAGGCGTCACGAGCAAAAAACTATTTCCCTCTCTTTCGCACAAAACGAATTCAATAATTTTTTTAGCTGTATTTTATATACCTCTTCTCACCAAACAATTTCAAAATCAAACAAAAGCTGATTTTAGACTTTTTTAAATGTCAAAAGTGACACCTCTGTATACTTTGTGGTCTGTACTATAGAACAGTCTATAGTCTGGAGGCAGAAGCAGAGAGACAGGCATACTGATAGGCAGACAGACATCGCTAAATCGACTTTATCGGTGTATGGTACAAAAATGTCACCCGATTCTATTGATTCAAATTTAAAGAAAATATATTGGAAGTGGCTCGTTCAGTGTATATTCAACCTAGTGGGTTAATGTTAAAGAAAATTTAAAAATTATTTTTATTATCATTATTTTTTCGTAGCACTCTACTGTATATATTTATGAGAGTAAACAAATAGTATGCATGTTACAGCTCCTTTAAAGGAAACACAGTCTAGATGCCACTTATCTGAGAAAACGAAGAAGATAAAGATGTATTTATGGCAAAGACAAGTATAATGTGAATTTGCATGTGGATGTGAATGAGGTAGTAAATGTAAAATGTTATTAAAGATAATCAGTATCTGATTATAACTACTTGTGTAGGATGTAGACATACATACATACTTAAGTATGTATGGATGTATGTATGTGTTTAAGTATGTATATTTGTACCAAAGGATATTGTTGTGTTTTTTGATTACGTCCATTAAAACTGGTAAATGTCAAGTAAACTTATAAATGAATTTGTTGTTAATGTCATTTACTTACATGATTGTTTCTGTACAAAAACCTATACAATATGCGCACAAACATACATATACATATGTATGTAAGTATTTGTTGTATTTGTTGGGGTCGTTGTATTATGTTAGAAACATTTATATTGAAATTGAAAGTGATGTTACGTGTAATACTTTAGACAGTGAATGTATCTAACTAACTAACTAACTAACTAACTACTAACTAACTAACTAACTACTACTACTAACTAACTAACTAACTAACTACTAACTAACTAACTAACTAACTAACTAACTAACTAACTAACTAACTAACTAACTAACTAACTAACTAACTACTAACTAACTAACTAACTAACTAACTAACTAACTAACTAACTAACTAACTAACTAACTAACTAACTAACTAACTAACTAACTAACTAACTAACTAACTAACTAACTAACTAACTAACTAACTAACTAACTAACTACTAACTAACTAACTAACTAACTAACTAACTAACTAACTAACTAACTAACTAACTAACTAACTAACTACTAACTACTAACTAACTAACTAACTAACTAACTAACTAACTAACTAACTAACTAACTACTAACTAACTAACTAACTAACTAACTAACTAACTACTAACTAACTAACTAACTAACTAACTAACTAACTAACTAACTAACTAACTAACTAACTAACTAACTAACTAACTAACTAACTAACTAACTAACTAACTAACTAACTAACTAACTAACTAACTAACTAACTAACTAACTAACTAACTAACTAACTAACTAACTAACTAACTAACTAACTAACTAACTAACTAACTAACTAACTAACTAACTAACTAACTAACTAACTAACTAACTACTAACTAACTAACTAACTAACTAACTAACTAACTAACTAACTAACTAACTAACTAACTAACTAACTAACTAACTAACTAACTAACTAACTAACTAACTAACTAACTAACTAACTAACTACTAACTAACTAACTAACTAACTAACTAACTAACTAACTAACTAACTAACTAACTAACTAACTAACTAACTAACTAACTAACTAACTAACTAACTAACTAACTAACTAACTAACTAACTAACTAACTAACTAACTAACTAACTAACTAACTAACTAACTAACTAACTAACTAACTAACTAACTAACTAACTAACTAACTAACTAACTAACTAACTAACTAACTAACTAACTAACTAACTAACTAACTAACTACTAACTAACTAACTAACTAACTAACTAACTAACTAACTAACTAACTAACTACTAACTAACTAACTAACTAACTAACTAACTAACTACTAACTAACTAACTAACTAACTAACTAACTAACTAACTAACTAACTAACTAACTAACTAACTAACTAACTAACTAACTAACTAACTAACTAACTAACTAACTAACTAACTAACTAACTAACTAACTAACTAACTAACTAACTAACTAACTAACTAACTAACTAACTAACTAACTAACTACTAACTAACTAACTACTAACTAACTAACTAACTAACTAACTAACTAACTAACTAACTAACTAACTAACTAACTAACTAACTAACTAACTAACTACTAACTAACTAACTAACTAACTAACTAACTAACTAACTAACTAACTAACTAACTAACTAACTAACTAACTAACTAACTACCTAACTAACTAACTAACTAACTAACTAACTAACTAACTAACTAACTAACTAACTAACTAACTAACTAACTAACTAACTAACTAACTAACTTAATAACTAAGACATTTATCGCAAATTACGCAGAACGAGAAGCGTTCTCAATATCCTCCAGCCTCAGGTTAGTATGATAGTACGTATTCAGTTTGGGCAGGATTACGGGCACAGCCATACACAATTGGATGTGTAGACTCATAAGAATGTAGAGCATGTAGGGAGGCACTTTCTTTGCCAAAATTCTTCGGTACACATTTCGCCCAGAAAACTGAGTTTCTGAACATTGGACGATAATACATTTAGTGAATACTATATAAGTTTTTTTGAAAAAGGAGCGTACAACTGGCCCGTTAGTGGCCTATTTGTATTTCTGTTGTTTCTGCGACCTAAACCATTTGATCTATGAATAAAAAATGTTTCATATTAAATTAAGCAATAAAAACAACAAAATATTTATCAAATAATTTTCATTTCATCTTTCTCCATTCATATATTTATTCTGTCATTCATTCATTTATTCACTACAATATTCATACATTATACATTTACAACCTAAAGGGATTATAAAACATAGAAATAAAATCATTTTAAAGTGAATGTCGAAAAAAATTTAATAATTATTATGTAAATATTATTAAAAAGTATTAAATTAATTTAATAATTTAATAACTGTAGTCTAATTTTAAGCAGAAATGTTTTTACTATTCGGGAAAAATGAATCTGCTTAGTGAGAGTTAAATGTCAAATAAACTGTCAGACTGTGCTAAACTTTTGACATTTATGATCAATAAACTGTGGCAAATTGTAGTGAATAGATTGCAGTTTCTGCAACGTTAGCGATTATAGCGCTATGTTACCCGTTAACAGTCTTGTCATTCAGGGAATTGTTCTTCTAAATAAGATATCAAATAACTTAGTTATGATGAAACATTATTGATTCAATTCAATTTGTTATATTCATTTCAGTTCTCGGAATGGACTGGTGTACATAATGGACTAAGATTTTTCTATACATTCGTGTCTATATATAGTAGGTATGAAGGTGTATGTATGTATGTATATGTATTGTTATATGTATATGCATACACATATGTATGTATGTGTGAGTAAATATGTTCACAAGGTTCTGGTATATTT